TTTGACCTACTATACTTTTTCAGTTCAGATATAAGTTATGATTTAACATCTTGCCTTAAAAGCATTATCTGATTTTTCCCATTGTCTTAAAAACTAAAAAGTATTTCCCTCTTTCTCGCTATCAAACTGAATATGAGTAAATAAAATGCTTGTAAGTTTTCAATCACATCCACAGTAACACCTTAGGATAACGCTCTGTTGATGAGCTATCGAGAAAACTATTTTTTACGACATTTCGATATTCAGTAACGAGTGTCAAAGGAAATGTGAAGCATTAGTGCTTCAAAGTGTGCCTCGTTTGGCAATATGAAGTACACAGATACATATTTTGACTTTTGTCAGTAAGTTCGGATATTTGAAGAGAATTGTGAACTACCATACAGTGTTTATTCTGGGTGAAGTAGTTTTTGTAGTAAATTAAGTGTTCCAAAGAAAAGACACTAATATATTGTGATCAGTGTACAAATATATGTACTATAAAATATATACAACTCAAGCACCAAAGTGACAGTATTGTTACGTCTCCGTTTGTTAATTGATTTCCCGTAAATTCGTTCCGACGAAACTTTAGCGACACAAGTCCTTACTTAATAAAACTGGTTTATTCTTTCCGAATATAACTTTACGATACACTTAATTTCAACAATCGCGCTAAAACAAACGCTATAACAGCGAACGTGCTCAACTTCAATAATACTCTCTGACTGCAGATCAATTACTCACTGTCTACACACATTATCCCGTCACGTTGTGAGCGTCTTATTTATATACCAGAAAAACATATATCTAGTAAATGCTAAGGCATTCACGAAGGAACAAGATACTTCTAAAAAATAGGTGGCGTCACACTAGTCACGTGACCTCGCTGACGCAACAGTATTTTATCTAACAGATATACAGATTCTGGAACAGTTAGTAACATCTGAAAGTTACGCTTTTTTTTTAATGGACCAAGGCCTACTGCCTTTTTCTTTTCATGAAACTATGATATTTGAAGCCCTACATATTTAGTGCTCCGTTGCAAAAATAGATTCATTCAAATACATGAAGAATTAAAATAATTTTATTTAATCTTCTATATACTTAGTCTAACACAAACTGATTGGGAGACAGAAATCTTTATATTACGTGACGCTTTCAGCGGTAACTGTATACATCAAGTGGTGTTATTTTCTTTTTAACGTTACATATATTTTGCACTTCTTTCTAAATATTATCCGGTGGTCAGCAGTAAGTTTACGGACTTACATACCTGTCAATATTGAGATGTGCCAAATCGGGAGACTTTTTGTAGAACACTACAACAGCGAGTAGCGTCCCTTGGGGGAGGGGGAGAACATGCTCCATCAGAAAATTTAGAAAAAAGGTGCAATTTTATGTATTCTGGGAACTTCAGACATTTATTACACTTATAAGATTTAAATGATGTTTTATTATTATTTTTTTCATTTACAGTGGGTTTATATACCAAGAGCATCACAGTCATCTGCTAATATTGTTATACACTTTTATTGTAAGAATTGAAAAATAAAAAATACACATATCCTGATTATGTTCTTTGTTATATTGGTATGTTGCATTTTTGGTATCTTTCAATACCTGCTTGCTGAGCTTGTATTTACTGGCTGAAGAATCTGAGTTAAACTTACAGTTTAAAAGAACACATAATGTGTCATGCCCTAAAAGTAAATGCGTAAATCAGTCCTGTTCTCTGTTACGATTTTTCTCACAAAATGCCCTTTCACTCGTTGCATTGGAATGTGGTACAATTAGACAGTATAACACAACAAAGTATAACAATGTGACACAAGATAAGTAAATATTTACTTTATCTTGGTTGGCATTCTGTGAAGTTCAATTTTGCGTCTCTATTCTTTTTGTTAAATTATTTAAAAGGTTGATATCGGGAGATCGAGAAAGAGGACTCCATATCGGAAAACTTCCACCGAAATCGGGAATGTTGACAGGCCTGGACTAACAATGCTAAAATTCAGGGATCGATTCCCTGTGGTGGAGAGAGCATAGATACTAGATAGCCCATTGAGTAACTTTGCGCTAAAGTTACAACAAAAAATCTTTCTAAGTAAATGATAAGCTCTTTATTAAAGTAACCAGAGGCCGCCAGTATCAGGAGAGTTGCCGCTGTATATGCCCGGTGACTGAATAAAACTATGAAATAAAGATACTTTTACATTGTTTTACGTATTGAAAAAACTATCGAAATAACACTAGAAGAAAAGCTTAAGCAAACTGACTTCCAGTTCAAATTTTACTCGCAGAAATTAAACTCAACAGTTAAGGTCATAGCATAGAAACAAAAACAAAACAGACATTAACTTTTATTCGTTATTTAAAACCTCGTAGAAAAAATCTAAAAGTTGGTTGTGGATTTCTTTCTTTGTAATTTTTCGTATTATGCAACGGGTAGTGCCCCATCAAAGAAAAGCACAAATTCTTATTTTCAACGTGAAAACAAAAGAAAGAAAAACTTCGACCAAAACACGCACTATTAGCTCCCAGTGGGTCAGCATAAGTTTAAGGACATACAATGTTAAAATCCCGGGTTCGATTTCCTGTGATGGACAGAGCGAAGATGATCTGTTGTGTAGTTTTGAGCTAAGAAAATAACAACAACAAAAGCACGCAATATCATTGATTCCGCATGCCTTTTGTTTTGTTACATGAAATATGTAAATACATATATTGACCTTGACCAATAAATTCGGAGATTTTAAAAGGTGTGTGAACTATAAGACTGTGTCTGGTATTCCACTTATAAATAGAAATTTAAGTATTATGTACATCTTTAACATCTTATAACTTGTCTGGTTTATTAAGATGTGGACACTGACGAAAATTACTGATATGTAGTTACTTCTCGTAACAACCTTTCTAACCAAAATAAGACAACTGCAGGTGGGGGTTTTTCCCTCACATTCTTCTTAATTTGTCCATTTTTACTCGAAATCAAAGGTGTGTAGTAAATAGCTTTAGGCGTTTAAAACTGCAATATCTTTATCCGCACGATCAGCCGACGTATGGGTTGATGTTGTTATATATTATAAAGCAATTTATCATAATTCCAGAAAACGCAAATATGTCATTATCTTGTTATTCTTGTAACAGTAAGTTAATTTATCATTTTCTGTGCCACTCTTAGAGCAGCATAAAAACATATACTTAGTTATTCTGAGTATGTGATTGTGTCAGTGATAACAATCTTCATGATTTTCTGTCGTATATGCTTTCACTACAGCACATCGAATTGATAACACCTTTGTTGGTTGACTGATAACATCTGAATATTTCGAGATTAAATACCAAGTTAGCGAAGTTGATAAACCTATTGGCTTAGTATCTGCTTTTTATTAAAGCTGTAGGATAATTTATGTTTGGAAAGATATGCCTGATGCATGTTGATAAATATGTTAGCTTGCGTATCATCTCCATAGTATTTAGTTTACCAACAAGTTTATCTGGTCTGTAATTATACAATATCATAATATCCAACATTAGCATAATAAAAACCAATACAATATTATTCTTTGCAATTAAATATTAGTGCAGTTTTTACTTTACTAACTACTTTTATATTTAAAATTATTTCTTTTCAAGTACCTTGTGCTACTGAAAAACAAAATGCTGTGTTCACAATTCCTAATGACGGGCCCGGCATGGCCAGGTGGTTAGGGCGCTCGACTCGCAATCTGAGGGTCGCGGGTTCGCATCCCCGTCACACCAAACATGCCGTGGGGGCGTGTGACGGTCAATCCAACTATTCGTTGGTAAAAGAGTTTGTGGTGATGACTAGCTGCCTTCCCTCTAGTCTTACACTGCTAAATTAGGGACGGCTAGCGCAGATAGCCCTCGTGTAGCTTTGCGCGAAATTCAAAACAAACCAATCCTAATGACGGTAATAAGTTGTGATTCATGTTACAGAATGTCAGTCAATGTTTTGATTTCCTGAAAGTTATCGTAACTAGTTATGAGAATACCGAGGTGACGTCCTTGGTTGTTTTTTGATTTCTTTATTTCACTTCCATTAACACACACACACACATATATTTATATATATATATATATACTGGATGTACTTGCACAGGGTCCCCGAAAGTGTTCTGTTTTAAGAGTAAATAAAACTGAAATTAGGAGTAACAAATACTTTTTATTTCTTTTGAAGTTCATATGCCATGCTATGTTGTAGCCTACAGAATGCATAATTCTTGTCATGGTTCATGACATACACACGTTTTACTGACGTCACGACAGTACAAATTGCAACGTTAAGCGTTTCATATTTGACGTCATTTTAGTGACAGACAAACAACACCCTAATGTATAGTGGTGCGAGTCGTTAAAACAGGTGACCCTTCCAGGCGGCCTTCGGTCACCTTTCAGGGAAATAACTGGAAGTTGTATCATAAAACTCCAGTTTGACGTCGGTACAATACTGGTTCTGGTGATGGTTATTGCTCTTTTTAATTTGCATTTTTTTTTGATAATTTAATTTTCTCAAAATGCGTTTATTAATCACATAAGAGTGACTTAAAGTTGAGATACAGTAATTACAATTTTTCAGAAATAAATTTGGTCTAATGATTATTTAATATTTATAAAATTAGGGTTTTACTTATAAAAAAAGTTGTTAGTTTTATGATACTACAATTTTCCTATTAAACTGCTGCTTCTATGTCTTTGTTTATTTTGTTAGGTATTTATGTTGATTCTTATCCTTGTATGCTTGATAATAATTTATCTTTCAAAGTCCAAATATGTTATTTTATTACACAGTACATTACTTAATATCAGCAAGGTATACAATCACATTAAGGCTGCTTCAACACCTTCTGCCTTATCCAATAGCAGAAGCCAGTATTACGTCTGTTACGGTAATTATAATATTTCTTCATTGGGTGTAGATATAATATACTATCTAATCCTCTTCAGATAAAAGGAAAAATATTTATTGAACACATAAGTTCTGTGCTTGTATATTTACATCAGTAGGTCCGTGTTCGTTCAAGGGAAAGAAAGGTCATTATTTTTTCACGATAAGAGTTTTTCTAATCATTTAGTGCACTGTTAGGTAATACTAGGAGCCAGTGAAAATGGGTCTTTAATCCACTTTGTTACATCTTGATTCTAGACTACTATTTTACTCTAAAAGGTATCATTATTAGTTGTGTTTCAGACATGAAATCGTTTTGGGAAGATCTTACACGGAAAGAATTAGTCCCCGTCAAAATATTGATGTTCCTAATTTATGGAGGTAAGAAATGTTTTACTTTCTTTTTCAAAATTGAATTCGAAAAAAAACTCACATAAATATAACGTTTAATTTCAAACTTAACCATAAAATATAGGAAACACGTACTAACTTGTTTTGTTTTTGATGTTACTATTTTTTCAGTAGTCTTGTGTTGTTGTTTTTAAAGATTGCCCGTAATTATTTGAAACATTTAAAAAATCAATAACCCTTGAAATATTTCTCTGATGGAAACGGAGTCTAATTAAGTACAAGAACACTACAAACACTGAAACAGTTCAGAATTTGCAAATTCCATCGTCAGCCACACCTTAAGTTTATATGATATACAATGCTTGTTTATTTG